TTTTTTTTTCTTTTTATTCTTATTGAGCTCTACATTTTTCTCTGCTCTCCTCCCTCCCCTTCCCCCACTTCAACTCTCTCCCATGGTCCCTATGCTCCCAATTTACTTAGGAGATCTTTTCTTTTTCTACTTCCCATGTTACTTAGATCTATGTATGTCTCTCTTAGGGGCTTCATTGATGTCTAGGTTCTCTGGGATTGTGATTTGTGGGCTGGTTTCTTTGTTTTATGTTTAAAAATCACCACCTATGAGTGAGTACATGTGATAATTGTCTTTCTGGGTCTGGGTTACCTCACTCAAAATCATGTTTTCTAGCTCCATTGGATGGAGTTTGTAGAGTGAAAACAGAGCTAAGAGAAGAATGGGAATGGCCAGAAGCTTAGGAGAGGACAGGGAAAGAGAAGCCAGGGGATGAACCTGGAGGAATGGCTGGCCAGTGGAGATGGGGTCAGCACCGAGCCCCAAGAGGATTTTAGGGGAGTTGGGGTGGAGAGCCTAGCATTTGCATCTCAGAAACAATATCACGTGGAAAATTCAAGACCACGATTAAACCTGGCTCAAAAATCTAAGGCGATTTCCCTTAGGTCAGCAAGATGATGATATATCCCTTTTCTCCCACAAGTTAAAGTGAAGAAGATACATATTTTGTGTGAACATTTTATTCTTTTCACCTGTAGAATAAAGAGAGGTCTTCCTTCATACGATCTCCCGATGGAGAACACCCGAACGAGGCCTGGTTGAGTTTGGTTCAGATGGTGCATCCAGTTCTGAATCTGCAGGCAGAGAAGGAAAATGCATCACCGTCCCTCATGGTACAGGGACTCTTCGAGAGCACAAAGCGACAAAAGACAATGGTGGCTTCCAAAATTCAAAGAACCTACAGGGATTATAAACAGGAAGGAAAACCCCACTGTCTGCTTTTAGCTTTCTTTAGGATACCTAAAATGGCAACCTACTTTTCCTACTGGCAGCCAGTAGTTCAGGTCTTCTGCTGCTCCTTCTTTAAGAGAGACCTTCAGCTACTGTTTCACTAATCGTCATGGAAGTGTCTGACAGAAAACTGACTGATGTGCTCTCGCTGCTTTTAATTAATTAATTAATTAAGCCTCCCCCCCCCCAACCTTGAGACAGGGTTGCTCTGCAGCTTTGGAGCCTGTCCAGGAACTCACTCTGTAGACCAGGCTGGCCTTGAACTCACAAAGATCTACCCGCCTCTGCCTCCTGAGTGCTGGGATTCAAGGCGTGCGCCACCACCGCCCAACATGACTTCTTTTTGAAAAATACAAATTTATTTCTATTTCTCCACAGGTATTAAAGAGGAAAAGAAAGAAAGGAAAAAAAATAGATCAGCTTCTGATAAACCCTCCAAACTACTAATGAGAGCCATTAAAGTCTCATATATTGTTGTTTGGGACAGAACAGAAGCTACCGGGAGAAGAGGACATTCGCCACATTTAAGGTTACTCTGCTGAGCCACCGGAAGGCATATTCTGCATGGTCCCTCCCGAGGAGCGCATATTTGCATCAGTCCATTCACGCACACTTATCTGCCATCAGAAGAAAGTATATTTGAGATGAATAGATATGGTGCTGAGAAAGACGGGTGACATTTCTGACTTAAAAGTCCCGCAAACAACAAAGAAGTCACATGGAAGTGCCCCACTGTTCCTTGCTGTGAGAGGGTCTGTGCTGAAAGAATATGTAAATATATTTTAAGGAGTACTCATATTTCCCCTTTATTCTTATATAATCGAACAAACTGGAGGTATTCATGTATGTGTGTGTATATTCATGCACACACACACACACATATATAGCTACATCAATTTTTGAAATTTGACTTTTTTCTAGGGTGTGTTAATATGCTTCCATGTGTCAACTTATCTGAAACCTTTTATTGCTTCAATTTCAAGCTTCTAAAAATTATGTTGAGACATGAAAATATGCAAAAGGAATTTTGAAAGGAGAATTATCCTCAACAGAATGAAAAATACTCTTAATAATATGGTAGAATATCATTAATTTTGTGTACAGAATTTCTTTATTCAGTGTAGAGGAAACATGGAAAAATATATATCTTTTTATTCTGCCAACAATTTCTCTATTTGGAGGACTCTCTTTGCCTGCATTTGGGAAATAATAGCGAACATAGTAAACACTTGACCCTCACAGAACATACACAGCTTATTAATTCAAAGTTATATGTAACCTGTGAATGGTGTCGCATCTGTATGCCAGAGGCACTGGGATACACTGGGATTTGGGGAACAGAGGCTTCTGTGTAGCCCAACAGAAGAGAAAGAATGTCTTGCTTGTCTTAGCTAGCATGTGAAGAGTAGTAAATCATCAGGTAAAGACTAAATTTGTGTGCGGCAGTGAGGACAAGATTATGGTGAGTTTTCCACGTGGATTAAATGACAGTAAGGGTAGTGGTCCAGAGTTGCCATTGATGTAGGCTGGCGTTGGGAGGTCTGAAATTTGCAAGGGTGCAAGACTAGTATGAAAATCTACTGTGTCCCTCAGCCAATGAACTGCCCTTGAACTCTGGCCAGCTATGTTCCTTCCATGGCCTTTAGTTAACATCTTTATAGCCCTGATTTTAATACCAATTACCTCAATGTCTGTGTATTTTCCATGTCCGTTGTGGGGTTTATTTGGGTGAAGAAAGTAAGATGCAAATTATTTTGCAACTTTTTTTATGAAAGTATTTTTTACTTGTGTTTTGCCTGTGTGTGTGTGTGTGTGTGTGTGTGTGTGTGTGTGTGCACTCGATGCCAAGAGCCATCTTTGGGGCGGGGGCAGAGAGGGCATCAGACTCCCTGGACCTGGAGTTACAGGCGGAGTTGTGGGCTACCATGTAGGTGCTGGGACCCAAATGAATCAGGATCCTCTGCAAGGGCACCATATGCTTTTCTCAGCTGAGACACCTCTCTGGTCTGTTCTTTTGATACTTCTTATTTAGCAATAAAAGGACCAATGAAGAGATGTGTGAGCCAGGGGGCTCAAACCATATAGTAGTCTTTGTGTTCTTCTCAGAGTCTGAATCTCTGTTTTTACAATTCTCTCTAATCCTTATACCAAAGAGACAAAGGTCAACTTGAAAACAATAGCAACAACAACAACAACAAGGTTCTTTGGTTACATACGTCTTCTAAGGAGTGATAGACCTCATAGTTGTATTCAGACAGGGACCTTCTGTTTCTCTGGGTTTGCAAGCTCTTTTCATTTTCCACAGCTTTCTGAAGATCTTCTATGAGGACCCTGGATTTGAAATAGTAGACATGGCGAGAAAGTTAGCCAAGAGCATGCAAAAACCAGGCAACGCCAAGAGAGAACCACACACAGAATGAACCAGCGCGGAAGTGTCCCAGCATTCCATGGCAAGAAGAAAGCAAAGACCGCAGAGTGGCGTTTCTAAAGATAAAGAATGTTGAGAAAATGCTCTTTTCCAGGAAATAAAAACTGTTAAAAATCGTTATAATGAATCTAAAGTGTAAAATTATAGTCAGGCGTCTCTAAATAATAGCAGTGCTATAATAACAGCTATCACGGAGTGAACATCTATAATCCTGCAGCTGTGCACACCTGAACTGACTGAGTGCTTGCCAGGGGTCAGCCACTGTGCTGGTCCTCAGTAGCAACCCCTGTGTTGGCTTCTATTATTTCCACTTTATAAACGAGGAGTCTGAGACTCAATAGGGTTGAGAATCAGTCAGTGTCATCCAGTGAGGATGCAGAGACAGAATCAGCTTGGGATGTGAATCCAGATTCTCATCGTGTGACCTCAAGTCCAGCGTGGCACAGTGAAAATAGAGCCACGGCTGCTCTGGACTCCTCTTCCACACCTTCTTTTCCAAATCCTCTCTGTTCACAAGCCATCACCCAGAAGCCTGGATCTAGGCCAGAGAAAGGAAGGAAGGAGCTTTAGTTCTCAAGAGGAAGCTGACAAATACAGAGGCGGGAAAGCTCCCTCGCTGTCCCACAGTACTAAGAATCCCATGGAAGAGAAGCTGTGTTCTAAAAACTGAATGTGTTTGGAAGTTGAGGGCAGAGGCCAGCCCAGGGATGGCAGGCCCATTGCTGTGGTGGAACCAGCTTCAGGCAGAACCGCCCAGGTTGTGACATCGAGCATGCCCTAACAGTACTACGGGCCACCACTCACTAGAATGACATGGAGAGACTATGTTCACCTGCAGTATTTCCAGATGTTAGAGAGACCTTTGGTGAGGGCTCTCACTATGGCAGGTGGGTTAAAAGCTTTGATCTTATATTTTATTTTCAAAAAAGAACCTGTTGTTTATGGGGTAAATTCTATTAAAGAGCACGTGGTGGTAGCATCTAAGTGACATTTAGGCTAATCTATGTAAGTCACTTAATGAAAAGAATTACCATGTACTGAATATATACTTTTTGATCCCTGACAAAGACAATTTACTTAGGCACCAGGCACTGAGGACTGACTGGCTTTTTTTTTTTTTCTGAGTCCCCACTACAGATTGAACACCTAAACAGAAATGAATTACTGACTTATTCCTTTCCTCTTACTTTTGAATTTTGCAGTTGGAAACATCAGAAGAGGTCAGGAGGCAGAAGAGTCCTCAATTTTCTTGGTAGAGACCTCTGGTAACTCAAAACTGGGAGTACACGTAACTCATCAAGCCCAGCGTCTTCACTATTGGAAGTTGTTTTCTTCCCAAGATAAGAAATTATGGTGATTAGGTGCATGGCCTAAATGACTGCATTATAGCTGAGGCAGATTTGAGGAGCCAGTAAGAGTTATGCTAATGTCTAAGGTTCCTTGTTTTTGGGTTCTTAGAGAGAACTTGGATAGACAAGAAAGAGGTGGGTTTGCTTAGGAGAGATATGGTAACAGACTATCAATATTCCAAGGCTGCAGACAAACTCCAGGTCTGGTTGCCTGCTGTGGACTACCTTTCTGTCCTATAAATGAAGGGTAGATATCTGCTTTATCCAGCACACTCCATTAGAACATCCTTCGGAATGTCCAACTTAAAAGGCTCTTGGGGGTGGGGTTCCTTGTTATGGTAACCTCAGCAAACTGATACAGGCCTCTGTAGTCTCTTAGACTGTATCTAATACAGGCTTTAAGAGGCCATCTTAAATTAGAGACAGTTGTAACATGGAAGCCCAGCCCCATTTGCTTGTCAAATAGTTGAGTGGAAATCAGCTGGTTCCTAAAATGATGTCTCTAAACCATTGCATTTTCTTAGTTTTTATAGCTGATTGTGATTTTCTTATTACATTTATCCATTTGTGTGCATTTGTGTGGATGAGTGTATGCCATGGTGTGTGTGTGTGTGTGTTTAGGTCAAAGGTCAACTTGAGGTAGATGTTCCTTTTTTCCACCACAGGGGTTCTGGGGCTTTAGCATAGGTTGTTAGGCAAGGCAGCAGACTTCTTTAACCATTGAGCCATCTGGCTGGTCCTGGCTGTGATTCTTATCTCAGCCTGGCACTTCTCTATAATGGTGACAAGAACTATTAGAATCTTTGCCAATGATGTCATTACTTAATGCAAAACCTACCCCCTACCCCCAGTTCCCAGACAAGGGGAAGGCTCTCAAAATGGAAATTTCCCTGGCAATTTCTACAGATATTTATAAAACGTCTTTTTAAAATGGCAGAATGAGTCATCTCGTTGAGAGGGTTGACCACCCAGGGGTCAGAAACAATGAATCACCTCACTTCTGCTTTACGGATCACTATGGCGATGCATTCTGTACACTTGTACAGAGTAAATGATAATCTTTTGAAAATACCCCAGGCTGCAATAATAAAAGTCAATTAAAATGATCTCTACCTACTTTGCCTACAGGATTTAATTGACTCTTATGTGTTATTATCTTGGGACTAACAAAATGAGTAATTTTAAGTGATTGTTCTTCGTGGGGAAACAACTGATCTAAAACACTTCTTTCCCCCCTCTATTCACTGCGACACAAAGGGCGAGAATTTTTTTTCTATATCAGTCCCACATGAACTCTAGTTAATGGCAGAAAATAGAGACTTGTTAAACTCATTGGTATGTTCTTTTCTACTGAACAATAATTAATGAAGCATGAGAGTTGTTACCGTGCACCTATGGATGTAATTACCGAGCTCTTTCCCGCTAGGCATCCGGAGTATCAAAGCACGCCTTCCATGTCGCAGAAGGGATGGGAGTGTGACTGATATGAACGGTGGTTTTCTGCCCAGCTGCATTGCTAGTCTAGAAGCACCGACAGAGGCCTTTCTACCAAGAGGAGGTCGTGCTTTAACAGCTGTGGTATTTTCCTGTTTGTGTGACCAGGGATGTCCCTGGTCCCTGTCACCAGCCTTGAACTTTCTCTTCCAGGATTTATAACTTAGCCCACGTCGAACCTCCATTTTATCAGAACGCCCCCCTTTCTTGTCCTCTCCCCTCAGGCACGCTATGGTTGTTTCTGATAGAAAGACCTAGTTACCTTCTATCATTCTTCCATGTTCTCCCACAATTTCCCCTAGAATCTCCCCAATCTTTATCAGACTGGATACCCCTGAGAAACCCTTGAACAGGTATTTCTCCGGGATTCTCCCCTTCCTTACCACACCAACCTTTCCGTGTTTCCATCTACCAAGCCACCAACCTCTTCTCGACAGCAGGCAGTCTGTTGGTTCTTACTTCTGTTTTTCTCTTGACAACGTCTTCTAGAATCTGCTTCTTCACATCTTATAACTAATGTTGTTTCTTACTTTAGAAAACCACCAGGTGAGTTTTCTTTCACGTTATGGATTTGCCCCTCCACCATTTCTTCTTGGGCTGGGGGGGCTTGTGGGGGAACTAGATCTTGCTTTGTGACTCAAACTGACCTAGAACTCACTACGTACCCCCAGGTTGCATTAGAATTTGTAATCCTCCTGCCTCAGCCTCCAGAGTACTGGTATTATATGCATACATGGTGGTGGCTGACTCTATTATCTGAAATCGAGCCACATTTATTCCTTCCTTGTTAGGAGATGAAGTCTGTTTCCTACTGTTTGAACCTTCTGTCTAGCATCTCCAGGGTCTCCTTCCTCCTTAAAGGTCCTTCCTGCAGCCTATAGGCATGCCAAGTTTCTCCTTCTGGCTCAGATCTCAAGTCTTTAGAGTGATCATTGATGCTGTATATCTTGGAGGTCACTCCTTGCCCTCTGCTCCCCACTTATTGTAACTGCTAGGAGGTGACATCTGTGGGCCTCGCCTTCCCTTCACCTTCTGGTCTTCTGTTCCTCACAACTGAATCCCTCCATGTATGTCAGCACCATAACTTCTATTAGCCCCTTTCTTGTTATGTCTCACTGCAGTTGTGGACACCCGACTCTCTGAAATCATTCTTTTCTTCCTCGACTCTCATAACCGTCCCAACTTACTCTCTTCTGCTACAACCCTTCCCTTGGAAACGTCTGAGTATGTACATGTTTTCACACCTGTCTGCTCAGTCTTTTCCAAACTGGAAAACTTAGCGATCTCCTCTGACTTCTCCCTTTTCTACTCTCCAGCCGAGTGGAGAACCCGAGTACTTTTACCCTTGGAAAACTGTTTGGAAATCTCCCCTTGCGGTTTGGACTACTTCTGTCTTCTGCTCTTGCGGTTCCAGCCACAAAGACAGGGAGTTTTGCTTACGTCCTCCAGGGGGCAGCACCACTCACAGTGGTCTGGGCTCCTCCCACTGCGGGAAGTAACCTTCCTTCCTTCTGCACGTGTTCTCTCTGCCACCTAGCCTGCCTTTTTATTCTAATGCTGGCCTTCCATGCAGTCTTACTTTGCTTGCCTTGTCCTCCACGTCTGTCAGATCCCAGGTCTTATGCTTCCTTTTGCAAAGCAGGCTACTGCAGAAAACCATTTCTTCTCTTCTCTTCCTTCAGTTTGGTCTTTTTAGCATTGCCAGGTGGTTCCTCTTTGTTTATTCAGCAAATGACTGTGTCGGCATTGATGACTTAGTGCTAGCAGTGGAAATAATGTCTTTGTGGTTACTCCTTTTCTCTATTAGACAAGTAAGTTCTTCAAAGATGAATATACACACTTTTACTGCCTCACAATGAAAAACACTTTCTGAAGCTCTCGATAAACAACCTGGATACACAGAGTCACCATTCAGTTGGCTAAAACTTGTAGCAAATAAAAAGAATGCTTACTTGTACTGGATGCGGGCTTCCTGGAGGAAGGCTAACAGGGTTCTGGAAGCATTTTGGGGAATATGGACATCGGTGACTGTCCCCTCTGACACACAGGAGATACTGCTGGGCTGCCACAGGTCCACCTATAGTGCAGGAACCAACCTATAATTCATATGTAGTGTAGGTGGGAAAATCCGTGTCACCATGGCAAGCGCATCGTCTTGTCTGAATATGGTAACGGCACACACATGCGGAGTAGATTCAATGCTTATACCCCCAGGGTTAAGCTCTCATCTGATCTGGCTTGAATTTGTGCCCTGAACTTCATCAGCGTCACAGAGTTTGGTCTTAATTCACAACACATTCAAGTTACAGGGTAAAAAAAAAAAATGGGGCGAAGGTTTAAAATTCTCCTTTCACATTTACTGTATAAATATTTGAATAACTTTGAGAAAGAGAAAGATACAAACCATCCTTTCTCCTGCCACCTAATGAAATTGTGGTCCATGCATTTGGTGGTCCTCCCTGCCGCTTTTACAGGGCAGAAACAGAGAGACAGGCTTCCACTGTGGGGATAAAGAGTCTACCTGCTTTCTCTGAAGCAGCGGATCCCTCCACTTAGCTGGAAAGGGCAAATCGGAGCCAGCTAATGAACTAGTCCACGGTTGTGAGGAAACAGAACTGTGGGTCTGGCAGAGCTGCCGGGAGGTCATTCTGTCCATCTGTTAGCCCTGGGCAAGGACACAGCTAGGTTTGTCACACTGTCCCAAGGAACAGGTCTCCAGAAGCGAAAGAGTTGACAATTACTAATTCAACTCATAGCCATGTCTCATAAGATTGCCAGGAATTTCTTAATCCTTACGCTGATGCATAACTTCATTTTTTTTTCTTGTTTCGTTCTTAACTGAGGCTGGCTCCCGCCCTTTGTAAGAGGCTCGTTGGTACCTTCACTCATCTTTGTATACTAGAATCCTTTAACCAAACTTGCCATGCCTTTAACCCATGGCAGGACTTGATATTTGGTAATAAGACTAACCATTTGCTGTCAGCAGATACTAGGAAACTCCACTTTGTCAAGGCCTGGAGAGTTATAGGTGCACAAAATGATAAGACTCGCTGTCACTCTGGACATATGTCTATAGATGCTATTTTTTTTTAGATATGTGCTAAAATAGAACCCCTATCCCATAAAGAGTGTCTTGTACATTGGAAAGTACCAGAGAAATAATAAACTATAGGCAAAGTCTAATGCTAACTAACATCACTGAGAGCAGTGGGCCAGACCTGTAACTCCAGCCATTTGAGAGGCTGAGGCAGGAGGACCATGAATTTGAGAGCAACCTGGGATAGACCCTGTCACCAACAAATAAGGAAACAACAGTAACAACAGATCTCTAGATGATCAGAAAGCATTTGAACTAATGGGTAATAAACAAAATATAATGTATAAAATCAGGAATCAGGATCTGGCTACAATGGGTTTATAAGATTCCAGAACATATAAAATTCAGTGGCAGTTTTTGCTTCTTTAATTTTTTTTAAGTTAGCACACAAGACTTCATTGTAGAAGACGCTTTCCTACATGTCATTATACTTTGTCCTCATTCGGTCCCTTTCCATACTATCATCCTTGAAGCCCCTGCTTGTTCTTCTGGTCCTCATCCTTTCCCCAAATAGTTGTCCCTTCTGTTTCCATATTACATGTGTTCTATTCCCCACCAACCCCTCCACAAGAGGCCTTTTTTCTCTCTCATGATCCCCCTTGTACTCTGAGTACCTACACACACACACGTGCACATGCGCATGCACACACACAAACACACACACACACATACATACATACACCTATAGTTTTTTTTTATGTGATAGCATGTAGTGTTTTCCTTTCTGAATCTGGTTTACTCCTCTTAAAATAATGATCCTCAGCTCCACTAATTTTCCTATGTGTCATGATTTCATTTTTATCTATGAAAACTCATTTTAATTTTATTATGAGAAATTTGTACTGTGTTTATGTGACACATTTTCTTGCCCATTCATTTGTTGATGGGTTTCTAGCCTGACCCCACTTCTTAGCTGCTGTGAGTAGCGGTCTCTGTGGTGTGTTGCTGTGGAGTCTTTTGGGCATGTATGCAGAAGTGGTATAGCTGATCATTTGGGAGGTCTGGTTGTAGTTTTATTTTCTGGAACTTCCACAGTGATTTCCACGAGAGCTGCCTAAGTTTACATTCTAAAATATATATGAAACCCAAAAGCTTAACACCGGCCCCTGCGGTAAAAGAAACAACACAGTTAAAGGCTGGGCAAATGATCGAATAGATGCTTCCTGAAAGGGGAAACACAGAAGGCCAATGAATGGTTCCCATGCAAAGGAAATGACATCAGCATAACAGAGATGCCTGTGTCCCCATGCTCACCACAACATGGTCACAGCAGCTAATGTATAGAGTCGACACTGAGTCTCATCAACAGAGGGGGTGGAAAAGATGTCCCATACACACACAATGGGATGCTAGTTAGCCAGAAAGAAGAAGGAACTTGGTTATTTGCAGCAGAATGAATGGAAATAAAGATACTGTGTTAAATGAAGCAAGCTATGTATGTGAAAGTTAACAATGTCAACCTAAATGTGAAATAGTGAATATTAGAGATTAAGAAGAGTTTGGGGAGTGGTAAAGTGAGGCTGAGTCATGCATTGCACTACCTAGTCCATACTTTATGAACATCTAGGAGAGAAGTGAAGGGCTCCAAACCTAAACTGAAGAGGGAAATGCTACTCATTCTACCTTGATCAGTGCCTGTTTGATACATCCACACCAAACCCCATTAATATGTGCGTTTAATACAGGCAGAAGAGTTAAGCAACAGACGTGTTATCACTGCTATTTGAGAAGTGAGAAGTGGAATGTAGTTCCACAAAGCTCTATTCGAGGTTTCCAGTTAGGATGAAGAACAGCACGGAACTGCTCCCTTGTTCAGGGAGAGCTGAATGCAGAGATGGATGGAAGGGTTCAGGGTGGGAAGCAAGACAATCAAGATGGTGACTAAGGCAGAGGTGGAGTCTCCAGAGTGATGGTTCTGAAGTCGGACTCCACAGGAGCAAGTTCAAGCTCCCAGTGCGTGTGACCTGGGCAAACTCCCTAACCTCCTGGCTCTTACATTCTTTGCTGGCGAAATCAAGCTGATGAACTAATCCCCCTGATAAACAGTGTTTAATAATGGAAGTCATTGCTATTTCTGTTGTAATGGAAATTGGAAAGATTGTAGAAAAATGCAGCGATTTCAAGGATGAAGTTTAGTGCTTGGCCACCTGGGTGTGAAGACAAACCATAGCGATTTATCCCAACGCTCTCTGTATTATTCCCCCAACTTATAGAATGGGATTGCTAATGGTCGTATTTTTCATATATATGTTTGAGGTAAAAATGAATCCATACATGTAGAATGCTCAAAATTGTGCTTGATGCCATCAGGCATTCATGTGGCCCGGAGCCTTTCTGAAAAGCCACTGGCAATGACACTGGGACTTGTTTCCTCTGCATATACTGGATTTTTGGGAGCCAGTCTGTTTGGATGCTCACCTTCCTGGACCTGGAGGGAGTGGGGAGGAACTTGTACTTCCGACAGGGCTGGAAGCCCTGACTGCTCTTAGGGATGGAGAGGGAGGAGGAAGGGGAGGGGGGAGTGGGAGGGTGTTGGGAGGAGGGGTGGAAATGGAAACTTTCATAATTTAATAAACTTTGAAAAAAAAGAAAAAAAAAGATAAATGATTTAAAATAAAATTATTCTAACTTAGTCTGGCTCTAGCTCCATGGCTTTCCTGGCCCCTCTACTGTTTTGCTTCTTAGCCTGGACTCTAGGAGAACTGTTCCACCTGTTAGTCCTCTGGGTGATTACACACCTGGTCCAGGTGTCACTAGGCTCTCATCCTACAACCTCAGGGTGAGACGTGTGTGTGTGTGTGTGTGTGTGTGTGTGTGTATGGTAGGCATTTACCATGTCCCTTCAACTTGTGACAGATTGCCTGGCTCCCAGCTTTCCAAAATAGCACAGAGGTGTGGAAAAAGACTGTCCTGATTTACTGTATTTATTCTAATTTTTCTTCCGAAAAACTGTTAGCTATTCAGAGTACTTGCATTTCACAGGAAGTGTGTGTATGTGTGTGTGAATGCGTGTAAGAGTAGAAGGCACATGTGTGGGTGCCTGCAAAGTCTGTAATAGGGTATCAGATCCCTCAAAGCTGGAGGTATATGTGGTTGTAAGCTGTCTTACATGGGTGTTGGGAACCAAATACATCCTTTGCAACAGCAGAAAGTGCTCCTAACCAGCAAGCCATCTCTCTAGCCCTTCAAATTGTAATTTTTTGAGACGGGTCTCACACTGAACTTGGAGCTCAGTGGTCAGCTAGATTGGCTGGCAGGACAACCCGGGGATCTTCCAGTCTTCAGCAAGCCCCAACCCTCTATCTTCCTCACTGGCAGAACGGAGACCCATGTTCACAACCTCGTAGAGCAAACACTTTAGACACCAAGTTAGTGCTCTAGCTCCCACTGGAAAGGTTAGTGAGAAAACTCGCGACCATCTCCGTGTTTGGTTAGTATTTGATTTAATTTGCATAATCATATTAATTTGATATACTGGAGAGCCTTTTCCTGTTTACTCTTTAAATTGTCTTTTTGGTCTTTCCCCGTTTATCATTCTTGAATCTTCTTTTAGAATTTTTTCCTACTGTCTCCTGAGGAGCTTCTTTGATGGCCAAGTTTAGATCAAGCACCTTTGATATCTGCTTTTGTGGGATCTGTTTCTTTCATAGTCAACAAGTTTTAATTGTATTTCATTTGCATGATTCTTATACTCACTTCCCAGAGCTGCATTAATAAGTTTCAAAAACTGGGTAGCTTAAAATTAAGCTATTCTTTGTGTCAATATTACAGTATTGGCAGGACTGTGCTTCCTCTGAAATCTCTGGGCAGCATCCTTGCTGGCCAGTTCCAGCTTTTGGTGGCTTTGGGCATTCCTTGTCTATGAAGGTGCCACCTCAATCTCTGCTTATGTTTCCACATGGGCTTCTGATGTGGGTCATCTTTTCTTCTGAGGATATTTGTCTCTGAACTTTGAGCCATCTGGGTAATCCAGAGTCATC